CGGAGTGTCGAGGGAAGGGAGGAGGGGAAGTGAGCTGGGGCGGGGTGGAGAGCTGCAGCGCGGGGCCCTCTTGGCGCGGGGCCCAATTCAGCCGAATCGGCTGAATCGGCCTAAAGCCGGCCCTGCCCATCCCCATGTGTTTCTGTGTCCCCACCCAGCCACTCCTCCTCCCCCAGTAGCTCTGCACCCCCTGTGCCCATGTGGCTCTGCACCTCCCTCCCCCCTGTGGCCCAGCGCCTCCACTCCCATTCAGACCCTTCCTTAGTCTATCCTCCCCCACTAGCCCTTATGAGTTCCTGTCTGACCCCCAGCAGCCCCACGTTGTCTGTCTCTTCATAGCTCTTGTTTCCTGACCTAGCCCACAGGCACTGTGAAGAAGACAGACTCTTTCTCTTCCCTATCAGAGCTGGTGCTGGCCAGGAGTGGCTGCTGTGTTCTAGCTCTACAGCACCCTCTGTTTTGCAAAAGGTGGAACTCTAGTAACTTTTCAGCAGAAGCTATTCTCACGTGTATATGTGTGCATGCAGTGGCACAGAATTCTCCCAGGAGTAAAGGCTTCTGGGAAAATATCTTACCAGGAAACATTCACTTTGATTTCATTAATTACTTTAAAAATACATATAATCCAAGGCAATAAAACAGTTTTAAAAAGGAGTAGAGGTAACATTGTTTCATTTAGAGCTGCCATGGAGATGGGTTGCAACAAAAAGTGAAAAGAGAACTGAAGAATCGGAGTCTTATGCCTGCAAATGCCAGTTAACATCATTAGCCCTTGTGGTTGTGTTTGGACACAACACTTAGGGCCTGATTTTCTCCCCACATGATATGAGTCACTTCCATAGGAGGGAATAGACAGAGACATAACCTATGGGGGTGAAAGCGGGCCCCAGTTGTGCTATTGAACTCAGCTAGGTATGCCATATTTTCCGAGTCCCTTGTTTGCAGTCATTGAATTCATTGAATTTCAGCCCCGGCAATCTTCCCAATAAGGTGAGTGAGTCATTAAGTGTGGTGTCAACTGTACTGGGGGAATAATAATCATTTTGCTTAAAAGAACATCTTCCCACCAAGACAATTGGGGTGCTGCCCAATAACTGTTTAATTAATATTAGTTTAATAATTAATATTTTTTCTAATGTTGTTGTGCAAAACCAAAACACTTTCACTTATGTAAGCAGAAGTAGCTGCAATGAAGAACTGATGGGAAATTAGGTGTAAAATCTTACTCATTTTTTTGATACAGAGATCCCACAACTGGTTTTGCTAACTAAAGTGGATGAAATTTGCCCTACTATTGAAGAAGACGTCCAGTGTGTGTACAAAAGCAAAGCTGTTGAGAAACAGGTAAAGTATGGCATTGTTGACTGTGGTGCTATCTATTAACTCAATTGCCTTGAACAAATCAAGGTATTGTGATACTCTACTTCTGCAATACTTGCATCCCCTCGCATTCCTACACACATTCTCATTCTGGTCTTGTAGGCACAAGCCGGAAATATAACTAAATTTAATACTCAGGCTTTGGTTACCTCTGAAGAATAAAACAGTATAACAGCAAAAGATGGAGGGCAGGTCTACACTACAGCCAGGATCGATGCTCTGAGATCGATCCACCGGCAGTCGATTTAGCGGGTCTAGTAAAGACCTGCCAAATCGACAGCAGATCACTCTCCAGTCAGCCCCTGTATTCTACCCCCAACGAGAAGAGTAAGGTAAGTCAATGGGAGATTTTCTCCCCTCGACTCCCCATAGTGTAGACCCTGCGGTAACTCAACCTAAGGTACGTCGACTCCAGCTACATTATTCACATAGCTGGAGTTGCGTAGCGTAGGTCGACTTACCGTGGTAGTGTAAACATAGCCAGAGATATCAGAAACCTCATTAAAAATTAAGGGCCAGATTCTTTTGCCGAACCCCACTGCATATAAAGGAGCTGGAGTCTGGCCAGCTGCAAATTTCCCCTAGTGTGAATAGGTGTAAAACTGGAAAAAAAAAAAAAAGAAGAGAGAGTTTCTGCTTGGAACTACCCTCTCCATCTTGGCATTGGAGGCACATCAGGGGAGGAAGGAAGTGGAAGGAAGCCCTGTTCTGCTGCCTTCTATCTTGTGTAGATATTCACTCCTGTGCAGAGTGCTTGTAAAATGCTGTCATTCTGCTTTGGTAGAATTTTACACCTACTCTGCATTCTCTTTACACAGCCATAAATGCTAACACAAGGTGGAAAGTTGTGGAAAATCAGAGGCTGCTGGTGGTTTTCAGTTCCCCAATACTGAGACTGGCCTGGGGCTGATTCAGCCAACGGGAGTCAATGGGAGTTATGTGCCTAAATACCTTTGAGGAATGTGGCCCAAGTGGCCATCTCCCAGTCAGGCATTGCCAAGAGGAATAGCCAACTCTATGCCATTTGAAGACTCCCCCATCTGGAGAATCCTTAGCTTAGGACAGAAGTTCTCAAACTGTGGGTCCGGACCCCAAAGTGAGTCACAACCCCGTTTTAATGGAATCATCAGAGCTAGCGTTAGACTTGCTGGGCCCCGGTGTTCAAGCCCAAAGGCTTTAGTCCTGGACAGTGGGGCTCAGGCTACAGGCTCTCCACCTGGGACTGAAGCCCTTGGGCTTCGGCTTTGCCTTCCCACCGAGGGCAGCGGGGCTTGGGCAGGCTCAGGCTTCGGTCCCCGCTCCTGGGGTTGTGTAGTAATTTTTATTGTCAGAAGAGGGTTGTGGTGCAATGTAGTTTGAGAACTCTTGGCTTAGGAGATATGACTGCTTTCTAGCTGCTTTGTTCAGCAAGAATGGTACAAAGGGACTAGATCAGTTCCTAGAGTAGAGTCCTGACCCTGGGGTACGTTCTGCATCTGAAATATGTAATTAATCCCAGGGGGAAGGGCTGTCAGGGAGCTGAGTGCAGCTCCTTGACTCTGTGCGCTGGCCCCAGTGTGAACCATGGTTTAGAGGCTTAGCATAGCAAAGCAGAGCTCTGCCTTGGTCCCTCCCTGCCTCTGACATACTCCCCATACTCCTACATCTCACACGGCCCTGGGTCAGGATGTGTGCGGAAGCGTGGTTCTAAAGGAGCTGACTTGTATCAGTTTTATACCAGCAAAGAGCTATTCTCATCAGAATCTTAACTGTCTAGTTATGACCAAAATCCAGTACAAAGGAGCTGGATTGGCCCAGAGAATATATCCCCCTGTATCTAGAGAGGCCAAATATGGATTTTAGTGGAATTATACCAGATATGAATCCCTAGGAGTGTTCTCTCTAGACCAGTGGTTCTCAAACTTTTTTTTTCGCAGACCACTTGAAAATTAATGAAGGTCTCAGTGGACCACTTAATGATCTTTCCAAATGTTTTTTGAACCATTAGCTAACTATTGTAAAGCGCTTGGGATAAAAGGACTATATAAAAAAACACTTTAATAATAATTTACGTTTTTTTGTTCTACAAATAAAAGCACACAACTGATATTTTAATGGCAGTAGCCTTACCTTTCTAAGTGATGGATGTACCCTCTCTCCCCCCACCACCATGGCATCCCCCAAGCTGGTGCTGGGAAGGAGGGGCGTCTCCCCCACCGTGGAAGCCCCCGATCTGGGTCTGGGAAGCAGGGGCGTCTCTAGCCTTTTTGCTGCCCCAAGCACGGCAGGCAGGCCGCCTTTGGCGGCTTGCCTGCGGGAGGTCCCTGGTCCCGCGGATTCGGAGACATGCCTGCGGGTCCCACGGCTTCGGCGTACCCACCGCCGAATTGCTGCCGAATCCACGGGACTGGTGGACCTCCCACAGGCATGCCACCGAAGGTGGCCCGACTGCCGCCCTTGCAGGGACCGGCAGGGTGCCCCCTGTGACTTGCTGCCCCAGGCACGCGCTTGGAGCGCTGGTGCCTGGAGCCGCCGCTGCTGGGAAGGAGGGGGGGTCTCTCCTTCTCTCCCCCACTCTGGCAGCCCCGGAGCTGGGGCTGGGAAGGAGGGGGGTCTCTCCCTCACCACAGCAGCCCCCAAGCTGAGTCTGGGAAGGAGGGCCATTTCTCCCCGGCAGCTGCAGCCCTGGAGCTGGGGAAAGTCGCCTCTTTCTCTGACCACCACAGGCCTGCATGGCCCAAATTTCACCCACCCCCTCTTCTCACCCCACTGCTCCCTCCCACTTACTCCCTATTCCCCCCCTGCGTGGCTCCACTAATTAGGTGTGTGGCCCTTCATTCTTTTGTGTGCGGCCACCCAGGCGCGCACCTTAGTGGGAACTACACCTCTACCCCGATATAACGCCACCCGATATAACATGAATTTGGATATAAGGCGGTAAAGCAGCGCTCCGGGGCGGGGGCGGGGCTGCGTGCTCCGGTGGATCAAAGCAAGTTCAATATAATGCGGTTTCACCTATAACGCGGTAAGATTTTTTGGCTCCTGAGGACAGCATTATATTGAGGTAGAGGTGTATCTGCGGACCACCTGAATGGAGCTCGCGGACCACAGTTTGAGAACCTCTGCTTTAGATTATTATGAAGGAAAAATAGCCCTGTGTTCTGGGTATCACCTCTGAGATTAAATAGAGGATTTTGGCCTCCAGGGCAGTTTACACAGTCAGTTTCTATCAGTGAATTTGCTAAAGAAGAATAAAATAAAGTGAATATGGTCTTGAACTGTAGCTGCATCAAAATGTAGTTGCTATGTCAGTTGCAGGATGGGTATGATGTGAAAGTAGTTATGCCTTCAATATAAGGAAGTTTGAAGAACTAAAATATCTTCCACTTTTAATCTCACCAAACAATATCTGTGAAAATACTCAAAGCTTTTGCTTAGCTTCCTCAAGGAACAGAAAGATTGAAAAATAGTCGGGGAGTTCTTTAGGATAATCTATTTTGTGCCTTTTCTACAGATGCGGATAACTGCAGAGAAACTTGGAATCCCTCTTGCTCAGATTGTACCTGTTAAAAACTACTGCTCCGAGTTGGATCTTTCGTGCGATGTTGACATCCTGTTACTTTCCGCCGTGAGGCAGCTTATACATTTAGCAGAAAGCTACCTTGACAATTTCCCTTTTGAGAAGTCAAAGAAAGAGCTCTAACCTGATGTTTACCTGTGACGCTGGATATTTTATGTGCTAAACTTTTAAAAACCCTGACATCGGAAGTCAAATTTGTTGCTGCCCTAAGCAGATGCAACACCATTGACTTCAGTGGAGTTGCACTTGCTTATGCCAGTGGTGAATTTGGCCCAACAGTTCTATATCTTGTTATTGCCTACGTAAGATTAATGGTATTTTTGCAGGCATCAAGGGAAGAATAGATTCTCCAGCTTTCAAGGTGGGATCCCTTTATTAAACATTCCACATTCTTACTCTGCTCCTAACCTTCCAGTTAGAGACAGCCCTTTCCACTAAAAGAAGCATTTGCATAAACCTTTTAAGAAGTTGCCTAAAGATATTACTTCCTCCTAGTAGTTCATGTGAGTTGCCTGCTGCTAGTGCTAGTTGCTGGGCATTCCATATGTTCTTTATTTTTATCCTTTAAGTTTGTTATACTACATAGCATTGACACTTGAACCTTTTTAATATTGGGGGTACTGAAAGCCAGCTCCTTACCCCATCCACCCCCACCCCCTCAGATCTGAGGCAGCCGGGACCCCAGGTGCATGGGGCCGGGAGCCAGGACTCTGGGTGCGTGGGGCCAGCAGCCTGGAGCCGGGGGTGCTACAGCACCCCCCGCACCTCTAGTCTCCGCGCCTATGTTATATCATAAAGTAGTTTTCATACCAAAATTTTATAGCTACAAGCACACATGTGAAAATTAGCATTCACCTATATGTTCATATTTCTCACTGCAGCCATTATAAAGAATAGAGGATTGATTTATAACCAGAGTTAAATTGGTAATTGATAACTAGGATTGACTAGTGACACTTACGAGGAAGTGAAAATTACTGTAGTTGTTTTGTGGTATCATCTGTTTTTCAAAATGCTGTTAACATTTAAAAAAAATCGAAACAGTAGGTTGTAAAACTTTTATTAATTGGAAAAATAAATTACTCTAAGCACTTTTTCAATCACTTTCTTCAGCCAGGTTTGGGTCTTCAGTAACTCAGCCGGAGGTTGTGGGCCTATTGCAGGAGTGGATGGGTGAGGTTCTGTGGCTTGTGATGTGCAGGAGGTCAGCCTAGATGATCACGATAGTCCCTTTGGCCTTCAAGTCCATGAGAAGAGGTGAGACAGAGACATGAGGGACCTACTTTTCTTCTCACTTACACTGGTTAAACACTGCTGTATCTCTATTGACATCAGCAATTACTTCAGATTTGCACTTGAGTACTTGAGAACAGAGTTTGGATTAGATCCTTGATGAGATGTAATATATCAAATGCAATGGTAGCAATAGAAAGAGTTGTCAAGGTTTTGACTGTTCCAGAAAGAGTTGGCATTGCTGGCATATGGTTCCCTGCAGGTATAGCTGAGGGGAAGGGCTACTTCCTATACAATAAACTATAATTAAAATTGAGTGATGCATGTTATTGGACAAGCATTTATTTTCTTTTTGTTAAATGACTTGGTCCAGTTTGCCCTCTAGTGGCTGACAGTTACAAAATATGCATTTCTAGAAAATAGTGCTACATAAAGATGCTTTAGAAAAAACTATGGGGCAGGATTTTATTTAACTCTCTTGTCTGACCTAAGATTCAATTCTTTATTATTTTCTTTTCTGTGAGCACACAACTATTTGGGGAGGAGTTTTTATTACCCATTGATGGAAGTCCGATGTGAACTACCATCCAGCTGCCCCTCTGCCAAGAGAAAGCAGAGGCATATAGCAAGCCACCCAGCTCTCTCCACCAGAAGACCACAGCAGGTGATGGGATGGGAGTATGGGAGGGCCTCTTTATGCCGCCTGATATTTTGCTGTTGGAATGTATTCATCCTGTTAAAGCATATTTTATAAACATAAATAGCTATCTCAGTCCAACCTTGTTTTAAGAATGACAATGATTAAAACACACTTAAAGTGTATTACATCCCACAAGTAGCATACTGAGATGCTTAACAAAATGGAAAAACAAGATATAACTGACCTTCAAAGGTCTTTTGAGGTAAATCAGAACCTCTTGGAGGAAAAAAAGAAATCAAATAGCTGTTGAGTTGCAATGAGGCATTTTCAGGGCTTTTATCTCACTTTTCCTCAGTGTACCATCTAAAACAATTTTTATTGCAATTTGCAGCCCTGTAGAATCAGGCTAGTGTATCAGTATGTGTGTATTCTGTTTTTCATGCATCATTTAAAAGGATCATCTAATATTTCTGCAGTTGGGGCTCTTTTGTCATTTTCTAGCTCATGTGCTGATGCTGCGGAGAGAAGCTGCTGTTTAATAATTTCAGTGGGGTTAATTCTACACGAGAGAAGGGAAGAACCTGGAGTTAGAGTGCTTTGGTAAGATTTAGCCTGGAGATTATCATTTAGAAGCTGTCCTCAAGGGGTGATTGTGGGTGAATGCAAAACACCCATTGACTTCCATGGCAGTTAAGTAAAAGAATTCTTCATCAAGCCTGTTTTTTCACTGTCTGCATGCTGTGTCTTAGAATGAACTGCCTATAGTGTTGTACTTCTGCACACAACACATAACTAGATAGTGGAACTCATTGCCACAGGAAATCGTTGAGGCCCTGCTGGAGGACAAAGAAAACATCAATGCAATAGGAGCTGCAATTGTAGAGTTAGCTCTAACCTGATAAATATAAACATAATAATATTACATAATATAAGAAACATAAGAATAATATAATAATATGCATAAGAATATTACATAATATTATTTCATGTTATGGCCATAATAAAGGGTGAGGTGCACATATTTGCAAATATGAGGAGACATATAAGGGAAAAAAGGAAGTTAAAGTATAAAAGTGGGGGAGAGGGATTGGAGAGGGACTGCTCAGTATCTCAAGTATTTGCCATCATCAATATGTTTTGAAATATGTTTGATTCAGAAGATTCCGAAGGTCATAAATGTGTCTTCTAAGTGGAAGAGACTGAGACCCAGATCTTCAAAGGTATGTAGGGGTGCCTAACCCCTGGGTAGACAGCTGCCTAGTGGACTCCTCAGCCTCCAGCTAGGCACATAGGGAGGGGTAGGTGCTCCAGAAAGGCATTCTCAGAAACTAGCAAACTGAGTGGGCTGCCTGGCTGATGGGCCATAGATAGGTCCTCCCTCCATTTGGGACTCTCAGTCGTGAACCCTCTCCTGGAGTTAAGCGGCTGACCTAGCTTAGTGCCTAGGTAGCTCATGCCCTCACAGCTGAAACAGTCTCTAACTTTCACTGTCTCCTGCTCATGCTCAATACTGCTCTTGTACTCACCCTACGTTTCCCTGTGTCCCTGCTGTCTTATGTGGGTGCTGTGCTGCCTGTCTGCCTGTTGAGGGCCTGCGCCTGGCCCTTTTGCTATGGGTCTTAGGTGTGCTCAGAGCACACCTATAGCATTGTACCCTATTGATATGCCCTGCCTGGTTTCAGAATCCCACTTTTGGGGCCTTTAAGATTTTCAGCTTCAGCTATGTCTCCAAGCAGCTTGTTAGCTATGGGGCAGTCAGGGCTATGGGAGGTTTGTGAATGCCAACTGGTAGACACTTAGGTACCTAGGGGACTTAGGTGCCTATGGGCTTAGGTGGAATCTGAGTGCTGGTTTTGAAAATAGCAGTGGAGCCTAAGGATGGGATTCACAAAGCTATATAGGTGCCTAACTCCTATAGGCACCTGAGCTCCTTTGTGACTCCCACCTTAAATGGTGGACTTAGGAACCTAAAGGGGAAGATAGGTGCCTATATATCATTGAGGATGTTGGCCTGAAAGGCCTGTGATCCTATTCTTCATTGTATGAAGAGTGGTACAGATAAGGTAAGAAACCGGGGCAAGTTCTTTTTTTTGTTTTGGGGCCTCAGCGTGCTGCAGACTTGCTGGAGCTTGGCAGAGTGACTCTGCTGGAGGGGCCAGCATCATCCAAAAATTGGGTGGTGGGCACTAGTCTTGCTTATTAGCTATTTGAAGCTATTTAGTTGTTTTCATTGGGGTTAAGCAGCCTGGCAGGACACACCCAGAGACCTTGAGAGTGTAACCAATGGCTGCCCAATAGCAACTCATGGGGAGGAGTCGTAATTTATAAATAGGAGGAGTGGGAGGATGCAGTGCTGGAGCAGTGCAAGGACCAAAAAGTTCTGCTGTAAGAATTGTATTCCAGGGGTTTAGCCAGTCTGTCTCCCTCATCCAACTGCACTGCTAGAAATGCTGCAGGCTGTGCAAATTGCAGACTATCGTTGCAAAGACCTGAGGGGAGTCAGAAGGAGACTGTGGGACTATCACTTTTTAAGGAGCTGGTATGACCTACAGCGGGTTTGGACACTATGCCACTGAGAAGGGTAAATCCTCTTAGAGGAAAAGTCCGAGTGGAGTGTATGCACATAATTATATGTTACATTTGAAGTTATGATAGCCACAAGTACTAAAACTTGGGGGAAACCCCACTGAAAGTGTTGTCTTTAAAAGATTTCTTATTGCCAATATTCACACTTGTTTCAAGGACTGCAAGTAACTATGATGTAGTCATATATAGATTTATTTAGTAAATGTTTTCCTTCCGAGATTTTGTGTCACTGACCTTCTATCAGAGATTTAACTCTGTAGGATATTTGTGGGTATACACATATATCAATGTGCTGCAAAGACTTCACTCTGGTCTCTACTGCAGCAGAGAGATAAGCTACAATACAGGCAGAGGGAAAATATATTATGCCTGATTTAGCATATTGCCTTCCCCAAAACTGTTACAGAAACACCCACCGGCTGCAATCAGGTATGTTTTTGACATTATGGATAGAATGTTTGTACAATCTTAAATGAGTCCAACTATATTTAATGTTCAGTATTTTTATTTTGCTTTAATTACTTTACTTTACAGACAACGAGAATAACCCTGCTGTTGTGTTCAAGGGCATAATCCACTGTCCACTGAAGTTAATAAGAGACCTAAGTGGGCTTTGGATCAGGCCCAATATGCACAGAGAAATGTGTGATTTTGCACTCTCACTGTTGTAATCAGAATGACACTTTCTTCAGAGGAGGTTATCTGAAAAAATTCAAAGGTAATAATTGATGTGTCTTAAATTTCTCTACTTTGGAAAATTCAAGTTAATTTTTTTTATACCTGTCATAGAATAGAAAAATGACTAACAACTTCACAATACTTAAAGCACATCTGATAATGGATTTTCTACTTTACACATGAATATATGCCCGTTGATTGCAAAGGATAGGTATTTTAGTTCCACCTACACTGTAACTTTTTAATAAAGGTAATAAATCTCAGTAGAGTATGTATGTGGTTGTCAGTCCTGAATGTTCTCGTATCAAGGAAGGAACAAGGATACTCTATCTCTGATTATTATTTTTTTGTGTGTAGAAGGATCTTTTGAATAGTATCTTGACTCACCTATGATGTTTCTTTTATATCTGCCAAATAATGAATCTGACTGAGAACAGCCAGAGGGCAAAGAGAAGCCAAAATGGCTGCTTGCCTACCACAACCCAAAGCTGTCAATGATGGATTAAATGAAACTTGAAGTAGAGGGAAAGGAATTGGAAAATGCAACATGTTCTGTACCTGAGAAAATGTATTTGAGAGGTGGGGGGGACCTATCACAAATGATAGGTACGGTACTCTAGAATAGGACTGCAACTTGCCTTTGCAAACATTTTTTGTAACCTTCTAATTGAGCATTAAATTGAATAGAGATCTATGATTTAAACACTATTAGTGTTTTGAATCTGAACTTTATTCTTACTGCCACTAATTTACAGAAAGTGCTTTGAATAGAATGGTGAAATTCTAAGTTCTAATTTACTTCCCAGCAAGGGTATATGAAGTTGATATACTACAGTATTATTAATGGTACATGTGAGCTGAATTGACTGCACATTTGGGCACTTTTTATTGATTCTCATTCTCAACCTGATAGTCTGGAGGAAAGGACAGTAATATACTATTGGCAATGTTACTTTTATATACTTGGTATAAAAAGGCATTTGGAATATACAGTAACTCCTCACTTAAAGTCGTCCTGGTTAATGTTGTTTCGTTGTTACGTTGCTGATCAGTTAGGGAACATGCTTGTTTAAAGTTGTGCAATGCTCCCCTCTAACATTGTTTGGCAGCCGCCTGCTTTGTCCACTGCTTGCAGGAAGAGCAGCCCATTGCAGCTAGCTGGTGGGGGCTTGTAACCAGGGTGGACCGGTAGCCCCCCTATCAGCTCCCTGCTCCCCTAAGTTCCCAGCAGTTCATCTGTCCCTCCCCCCACTGCCATGTGCTGCTCCTGCCCTCTGCCTTGGAGCTGCTCCCCGAGACTCCTGCTTGCTTTGCGGGGGTTTAAAACCAATTTCCACATTATCGTTAGTTTTTTTAATTTTTACTATTGGTTTTGATAGAAACAATAAATTCTAAAACATTAATAAAGGTTCACTGTTATTACTCCATTCTTAATGTTTGACAGTAGTTTAATTGTAACTTGTTTGCATGACTATAAAGATCTGTGGGTATAGGCTGGTATTAAAGTAAGAGAATATTTTATTACTGCAACTATAAACCAGTCATGTACTACTGTAATGCTCCCTCGCTCTCCTGGTCGGAGTGAGGCCACTCAGGCGAGACCTGTCGGGTCAGGGCCAGAGTCTGTCAGACAGGCAAGAGCCCCCAACAGGGAGGCGCGATTAATAGTCACTACCAGGCTTTAGCCTGGGTTTGGGTAGCTCAAGTAGTCAGCCCTTAAACACAGTCTACCAGGGCTGGCTGGAGCTCAGGTGGCCAGCAAGCAAACCAGTTTCTTGGGGCTGGCTTTGGCCTGGGCCTTTTCTACTTCCAGCCACGCCCTGGTACTTCTGGCAAGGGGGTGGGGGGATCAGGCTCCGCCCTCCAAGGGGCATGTAATGCTCCCTCGCTCTCCTGCTCAGAGGGAGGCCACTCAGGCTCACTGCAACCACCAACAGCTTCTTACCTAACCAACTGATCCTGTTGTTGATGTTATATAAGGATCGCAGAGGATGTTTATTTCTTAAATTGTCTTGTGCTCTTGCTGTCACTGATCTTAGCCTTAAAGTTCCTGAATCCAAGTGCAGAGAAGACCATATAACCATTTATAGCAAATATGGTAAAAATGCCTGACACTGATTGATCTGGTCACAGTTGTTAACTCCACTGCCCAGGGGTCATGACCAGAAACTCCCCTCCTTCTCCATTTAAAACCGTGTGAATTTTTGAAATGACTTTTCCTGATTGCCTATCTGGATGAGCACACCTAGCAGCCCTCCATTATTGTGTGCAACTGCCAGCTGACCATGCCAGTTACATGCTCCAGGAACACTCCGGCGTCTAGTAGACAGGAGATATTAGATCTCCTCCGCCTGTGGGGAGCGCTGTGCAAGCAGAGCTATGGACCAGCTGTAGAAACATCTATTGCACATAGGGATTCAGGGGAAGGGATATGAGATAGATCAGCAGCAGTGTGGCACGACGGTGGAGGAACTGAGGCGGGAATAGCAGAAGGCCAAGGAGGCCGCAATCAATCTGGTGCTGAGCCGTAGAATTCTGCTTTTACAAAGAGCTGCATGCCATACTTGCGGGAGAACCCCCTGCCACCCTGCACATCACCATGGAAACCTCCAAGGACCCTGAGTCATAGGCCCCTGGCATGAACAGTGAGGACAAGGAGGAGGTGGAGGTGGAGGATGGGGGACATGTGAGAGGTCCAGCTATGCCAAGAGGCAGGATCTCTTCAAGACTCCACTGCAGTCCAGTCAGTCCCAACAGTCAAGCCTGGGCAAGGCTGACACAGTGGAAGGTACCTTGGGTAAGTAAAAATTGCCTGAACCTATTCTCCCCCTCCTCCCTCACAACCAGTCTTCTTTCTTTTTCCTGTGTCCAGAAAGGTTAGCTGGCTCAGCCTCCACCCTCCCATTTCCTCCTTCACTGCCTCTCCTGCCTCCTTGAATTCCATACCCTACCCTCAGGATCTGCTCTTCTCAGGTCCTTCCTCTCTCTTTCTGCTCCTTTCCCATCCTTTTCTCCACTCTCTGTGTACAAGAGAGAGAGAGAGCAAGTGGGAGGAGCAAAGGGAGAGCGGGACAGGGAGAGTCAGGGAAACCCGCCCCTGATGTGCATTGGCATTGTGGGAAATGGATGGGGAAATGGGTGCCAGACTCTCCCCTGCCTGCAGGCCCCTGTCTCACACAGTTCCTGTCAGCAGGTATAGGTATGCCTGTGCTTGGCTTCTGGAGAACCCTGCCCCAACCAAGCCTTCCTGATCTTTCCCTTCACCTGAGAAAATAGTATTTAAAAAGATGATGCTATTTCCAGTAGGTGTTCAGCATGGGTGTGAGGTTTAAATGGACTGGGCACTCTCCCAGCCTTCCCTGGACAGAATTATGCTGCCTCTTACTGCCCCAGTGTTAGAGAAGGGTCTAGCTTTCAACTGCAAAGATCAAATGCATACCATGAAAGCAGCACTACTGGACTATGAAGTTTTCAGACAAAATCCTGCCTCTTATCACAAAGGGCCAAACCATGGTTTTTAATTGAAAATCTACCTAAGAAAGGAATCCCAAGGAATTCTAAAACCTTCCAATGCATTTATAGAGAGCTAGGGTCTGATTTTCTACTGCCCAGCCCATTGACACCAAGGCAGTGGCAAGTAGGGTGACCAGATGTCCTGATTTTATAGGGACAGTCCCGATATTTGGGGCTTTTTCTTATATAGGCTCCTATTATCCCCCCCCCCCCCGATTTTTCACACTTGCAGACTGGTCAGCCTAGTGGCAAGTGAGCGGCGCAGGTGCTGCAATGATTTTTATAGTGGGGGCACTGAGAGCCATTGAACCAAACTGTAAACCCAGAATATAACGGAAACTACTTCAAGCCAGGGAGTTCTGCAGCACCCCCAGCACCTCTACTTCCAGCACCTAGAGTGAGCCGTGCTTACATTCCGATTTGTTGTACCCTACTTAGCACTTGCAGGGATAGCACTGGCAGTGATAGCAAAGCTTCCAAAGGAGCCAGGATTTCACCCACAAAACCTTCACTTAAAATAATACTTTGCAATAACTCTCCATAACCCTTTCCTTTCCTTGTTATTACACCCTGAGTAGCACTGGTTTTCCCTGGAAGCTGGAGATCACATCACCTTTCTTTTATGTTGTAGCAGAATTGTCTCTGAGCTGGTAACTTGATAGGGGCTGGCAGCCCGCTCCCGGGAGACTGGAGAAATCCAACTCCATTGGCTGCTTTGGTATTGGCGGCAGGGCTGTAAAGAACAAAGGTTTGACTTTCAGTTTCGTTTCTTCTCCGCCCTGAGACTTTCCAACAGAAGAGCTTGCACGGTAAGAGCCCATATCTTTGCATATATACACTGTGAGCGCTTAAAATGCTAAGATGGATCGAGAGAAGGTTTGGTTTTTAAGTGCTGGCAAGCTGCGGTCGGAAAATTTCTCTTTCTATGATGAGTCTCTTTCTAGATTCTAACGTGTAGCTGGTGTCAGGAGCTGGAAGATGATCTCATTTCCCTTCGCTAAAGCTTCCCTTTCCCTTCCCCAAGCTTTTACACTTGCACTGTAGCTTCGTTGAAGCAATTCTTGCTATCAAAACGCTAAGTTATGTGTTTCAGATCAGACCAGAGGATAGTTAAACCAGATATTGATCACTTTAGCTAGTGGAGTCCTGCATGTCCCAAGCCATGCTTCAGAAAGCCATTTGTATGTTAGCTGCGCTGAGCAAGGAGGAAGTGTCGTGATTGAAGAGCCAGAATGAGAGAGTTGTGCCAGCTACCAATGAGGTGAAAATAACATCAATCATGTTCTGGATTCCCTTGTTTCATAACATCACCTCTTAGCTAAAATAACTGTTTAAAAGAAATCTCCTTGTTTCACACTGAACATGTAGCAAAGCCTCTGCTACAGAGACCTTGGGGAAATTGGCATTCAGCAGCGATGGACAGTAGCAGTGGCTGCTGAGTGCCAGAACTTGTCAGTTTGTGATATAACCACAAGACGGGTAGTAAAATACTTCCCTTACCATTCCTTTAACTAATACCCACAGAAGGGCAAAAATCTGCTCTTGAATGTGGATGCATAGGTGTGAATATGGTCGTATATAAGATCGGGTTCAAGTTATACCTTTACGCATGGTACAGTAATGTTACTCTTGATTTATTCAGGGTAACTTGAAGCTTAGGTTGAGATCGGGCATTTGGGGCAACAATCAGGGAATGTGTTAACCATAACACTCTAGCTCCACCTACAGTCTAGGTAGAGAACTTTAAAGTAATTCTAACCCTAATAGTCTTTTCTAAATTAAATATTTCTAAGATTTTAGTGGTAATAGTTGAATCCTGGATCATCCTCTTCGGGGCAATATATTTAAATAGAGAGCAGAGAAATTGGCTTACCGTTGCAAGAGAAGTCATTCTTGATGTACCCAAAACAAGAAGTGTTAGGTCTAGTTCTTCTTGGTAAGCAGGGAGCATAGTGTGTTTAGGAAGCACTCCCCTACCAATAGTAGAAAATGTAGAGTTTCCTCTTTTCTGTCACATCATTCTAATATATTTGGACAGAGGAAAACTTTGGAAATCTCATGAAGAATGTTCTTTTTAAATTCTCCAAGTTGGAGACAAGACAAGAACATTTATTCAAGACAGCACGTATTGTACATTTCTGAGCAAAGTATGTGCACTGTGCCATGCAGAAATTTGTTAATATGAAATTAAGCAGTAAGTGGTCTTGAAAGTTCTGCACATTTACAGATAAAGGACCCGAAGAGTAGAGGACAGCTTTATATTCTTTTTTATCTCTATAATGAATAATGATAAAATAGAGTATATACCATTTGACATGATACTCAAGACTTTGAAATCCAATATAGGCAGATCCAAATTACCTAAAGGCATTTCTCACCAAAAAGGACACCAAC